GGTTGTCGCAGCGCCAAGTGGAAACAAGGACAGCAGTTACAAGTGTTGTCCGACATCTCTCTCTGAAAAGACAGGACGTAACAAGAAGACAACAACAAATATCTCCTGATGTTTACAGTGACTATAAATAACCTTGTCACATGACAACATTTAAGTAACATTTAAGTAAGCAGTCCCTTCCACAGCACCGCCATCATTACAACTACAGTGGAAAGTCTGTTGAACAATCAACTGTCATAACAACTAAATGTTTACACATCACTATCAACTAACAACAAATACAATGCTTTAAACAGATATTTCATCACTACATAAAGGCCTTTGTTTGTAACAAAGTCGTCGCTACTTCCTTGCTAATGCTAACCCCCCAGTCAGCTTTGAACTCAGCAATCTTTTATTCAAGCAGTCATCTCTGTTCAAAGCCTTAAAGTCACAGACAGTCAAGTCACTTAGCTTTATTGGACTGAAATCTGTCAACATTAAAAGGTAACACTAAAGTGTACCACTCATTTCTCCTAAGACGTACTTCAAATATTCTGAAGTCTATTTCAGTAGTAAGTCAGTGGATTCACATTACGAGAGGTCTGTAGTACGGACAGATTGACCAACGCGACGGAAAACAGGTCTCCTTCTCCGTTGAACTTCATCTGAGCGTCCGTGACCCTGCAGTAGGGTGGTTTTCTGTACAGAAAAGCAATATTTGCAGGTTAATTTCAAGGTACATCAGACCAGTTCCAACTTCAGCTCAAAGGGCAATTTCTTATATACCACGATAACTCTGTGTGTTCATTATATAGGACGAAAAATTAACTACGAATCATTCTAACTTCTGACAAAAGCTAACGTTAGCTGTCGAGACGCATATGCTAACGTTAGATGCCGAGACGCATATCTCGACCGAACGACTATCGTTTCAAACAAATTATAACAGAAAATTGTTTCAAAAACCCACCATTTCAATCAATCAGATGTAGCCACCATGCCCAGTTTCTTTGCTTGAACGCCCGCTGGAAGCCAAAACGGCTAACAGTTGTGTCTCATGAGCTGGATTCGCAACCGGAAACAAGGACCGTGCAACGTGTTCCTACTTCCGTTATACAAACGTTCAGCGCGCCCCCTTCAGTCGACCGCTGACAGTCACATTGTTTCTTCTTTTTTTTACTTGGTTTAGTCTCTTACAATTTTTTTCTTTGATAGAAAGAGCGTGTTTTGACTACTGTAACAGAGAAGCTCATTGGTGAAAATCTACAAAAATAAATCATTTAAAAACAAAATACCAACCAGCTGTTTCACCACTGTATTTAATTTTTCGTAGGTAATAGTCATTTCAGCTATACATCTATATCTATCTATATGTCATATCTATTTATCTATCTATTAAAAATTCTGTCCAGAAATTTAAGGCAAAATTAGGATTTTGCCTTAAAATTTATAAAAAAGTAAAACATTTCTCAAAATACTCTTATTTAAACTTTCTCAAAATGCTTTGATGAGAAACAAGCAGAAAAATAACTCTTTGAGAAACATTTTGCCAAAATAATTTAATAGGAAATTAATTATTATAATAGTTTTGTTGTTGCTATCTGAAAAAAATGGCCTAAACTTCCAGTTGTGATAATAATTAGAACCAATACTGCCTGGGTGAAAAAATGTATTTTAAAGAAAATGATATCAATAAGTCAACACTAACCATCACTGCTTTATAATAAACATCAGAAACACATATCATACATTTAAGAATAATGAAAAATAAACATAAATGGGCAAACAGTAAAGGTTATTCTTTGAATAATTTCCCAAATCTCTTTTTAAGTACTTGGCACAACCACTTTACAATCCTCATCAGTCTCTAATCCAACCTCTTCCTGCAAAAGCACAAAGTAAAAGTTATTATTTAATCATACTCTAAGCAAAATTAAGTGTTAAGCAAATAACCCCATTTACTCACCAAGAATTCTTTTTTGCTTTTAGGATATCCCTCCAGAATCGCATTTATCATGTCCGAAGCCTGAGAGAAAGAGAGAGAGAGGGACATAAAATTACCTTCGCTTCGTCAATTTCCTGACAGGCTTCCGTAGAGCAAAATAATCCCAAACTTTTTTTCGTGTAGTTGTTTAAAAAAAGAACACATTGTCATGGTACTAAAACATCAAATAAATTATCAGTCTATCAATCTTTAGAACCGAGTGAACAGTTAAAATATGGAATTAAACAAATAAAAGCTTTTTAGCAGTTCGGTATCACGTACAATGTCAAGTAAAATACCTAAAACAAATGTAACTAACAAAAGTATAAAAATTCATGACACTTAACTCGCAACGAGCGTATGGCTGCAAGATGCATTGGCTACTTATTGGCCAGCAGATGGCAGCAATAAGTCTGAACATGGTTCAGTCATTTAAATCACAGACGTTTTTAAAAAAGAATTACATTATAACTTAGCCTCATATTGTCAGCATTCTCATCAAATAGAGAAACACCCTTCTCCACAGTAACGGTACAATTATTAACCCGGATGTTGTTACAAATTATTATAAAGGTAATTAAAAATGACTTTTGAAAAATATAAAGTATAAAGTTAGTCATTAATTAGGTAAGGGAAAAAAGGTAAGTCATTTGCAATTATATATATATAAAAACCATGACCTCTTGCTTCCTCTTTTTACTTTTGGATAATTTTTGTTTTTATTTAACTAATGCAACATGTACGACAAACTCTTAGTGAGTGCCAGCCAAGAAGTCTAGATAATACGGCGATTGGTCTGATAACAGATTTGTTTAACAAACTGAGATGGATTACCAGTCTCTTCCTCTTCTTCCACTCTTTCACATAAAGAGTTTGTTCTTTGTAAACCTGGAAATAAAAAAAACAAACAAACCACATCCTTACCACATGGAAAAGAGAACTAAAATAGGACTAAAAATATAATATAAACTGCGGCGTATGAACCTTTTCTTTCTCCTCAGGTGTGACGTGGTTCGTGGCCGACTTTATCTTCTCCAACCGTGCTCTGTAGCCACAACACTCAGCTTTCAGCTCCTGGATTTCTGCCTTCATTTCCTCTGTGGTGAAGGAACTGTTGAGCTCCTTCAGTTCTGGTATCACAGATTATACAGAACAGTTACACACGGGTAACCAAGATAAAAATACACAGTAACTACAGTGGGTCACAGATTCAATGTAGTATTAAAAAAAATGAAAATTTTGCACTACTTTCCTTGTTAATATAATTTATTTTTAATGTCTGGCATGTGTGCGTGTGTTCTGAGTTTTCAGGTGGAGAGCTGACACCGTCTCTGTTTACAAAGACATGATAAATATAGTCTTAAAGTGTGGCAGTCGGTGGATGGTGAGAGAAATGGGTTTTTTGTGCTAAGTGTGGACTTCACCTGCATCTAACTGTCTGCAGCTCTGTGTAAGCGACTGGGCCTCTGCGCTGAGCTCTGTAATCTGTGAGTCCATCGCTTTCAGGTCTGCATCACTAACGTCTTGGAACTGAACCTGCCAGGAGAGGCAGCAGTTAGTTTTTTATGCATAATTATTACAAAATTACAGCATGTGTGTATGTGTTACTTGAACCACTGCAGACACACCCACCTGATCAGCGAAGTAGATCTTTTGCTTGCCGTAAGTTTTCTCTTTTATCTTGCCTTCAAGGGCCAGCAACTCCATGGCTTTGACCACTGCCTGTGAACATCCCATATTTGCTTTAAAGTATGAAGCTTTGTCCTTTTAAATGGTTGAAAATCAGAAAAATCCTTTTTTTGTACACCAACCATTAATTAATCACAGTATTATGCTATACTAATAAGATTCAGAAAAAATCTTCAGAAATAAAAGTGTCTCAAAAATGAATAAAAATCCACTGTTATTTTCTATGGTTAAAATTCATAAAAATATATACTTTTTTGGTTTATCAACCATTGATAACAGTAATGTGCAATTATAAAACAAAATCTAAGAAAGCCTTCAAAATTAAACATTTCTCAAAAGTGAATAAAAATGCACTAATGTGTCTTGAATTAAGTATGTAATTAAGTATGTCCTATATATATATAAATATATCCTTTTTTATATATATATGTTAAACTCTGATCAAAAGCAACATATTATACTAAGTTCCTAAAAATTAACTTGCCTAATTTGCCTTAAAATGCTTTGTACTTTTAATGGTTAAAATTTTGGAAAAAGATACTTTTTGTGTACAAAACAAATATTATAAACATGACAACAATTGTTTAAATTTAAGTTTAAATATTCCTCAACAACTCTTGTGCTGATATCACTAGTTTACTAAATATTTTTATTTATATATAAATATTTTATATTTCCAGAAATCGTGGGCTATGATATTGCAGATACCCATACATAATATATTAATTTTATGGCAAAAAGAAAGAACACAAGGCCTGTATTACTGCTGAGACTCACAGTTTTTCCCAATCCATGCTGCTTTTGTAGATTACAGAAGACATCTTGGGCACTGTAGGGCCTGTTCTTCTCATTCAGATAGGCGAGGATCAGTGATGCACCTGTGGACAGAAGCAGGACAGTTCACTTCAAGTGTGCAGTCAAGTGGACTGTTGACGCTGTTCAAAATAAAGTAATAATAAAGTAATATGACACTCAGGATACAAGTTTTCCCCAGTGTTTTGGATTTAAATCACTTAAGAATTTAAATCTTCTCTATCAAAGGTCTGTACTAGGCTATATCAAATACATCAGAACAAGTGATGGTTGAAAAAACAGGCACTGACATTAGTTTTTGTTCTATTTATGTCAATTGTTTTATTTAAATTCTGTGGTAAATCGGTACTTAGTGTTTTTAATTCACTGGCCTCATTGTTCACGTATTAAGTATAACTTAGTAAAAAAAGTCCATATTATTTTGTTCTAATATTATAAAACTCCACAGTAATGTGGTAGTACAGAAAAGTGAGCGACTGTACTGTAGGTAAAGTGGCTGCAACAGCTCAAGCTAGCATCGAGTCTAGTGGTAACTTTGGGCCAAAAAGCTAATGCTGGATGTCGGCTTTTATGGATGGTGTTAAAACGAACGATGTGTTTGATGGGCTCAAGTCAATAAACTGTCTTCAATCACATGTTTCTATTTACTTACCGTTGTCCTTTTTACTCATCTCTAAGGCGCTTAGCTTAACTTCCGCCTTCTCAACTGAGTTTCGCGGGAGACGTGCGTCATTGAAAAGATCGTTTTAGGGTAAAGCTGTATTGACCACGTAGCAATGTTCCCATGTAAAAAGCTAACGTGCGGTCGACATTTTCTGCTCAGTAACTTTTTATAAATAACCAATTTAATTTATAATAAAGGTAACTTTTAATTAAGTTTACGTTGTTCATAAACTAGCCCGTCATCTTACCAAGCAAGAGAAATCTACACTGAGAACAGAGTGAGAACTCTGTAGGTGCCATTACTATCAGAGCCAAGCAGCGTGAATCTGTCAAGGAAACTAGATAAATTACCATATAAATGCTAGTTTCTGAAAAATAAAAATAATAAAAAAAAAAAATAATAATATATATCTTATAAAGAAAATGCGGCGAATTATTAGTTTGATGGAATTCCTCTAGTGAAAGTGTCAAAGTGTAAGGACTTACCTTTAAGCATAAAACGTCTCACAGAGCTCAGTCTGACCTGGGATTCAAGGACACAAAGCAGATGTAACTGCAAACAATTTATTCAATACAACTTTCACATCAAAGCATATCAAAACCAGTCAGAGAGGAAATCACACCACAATCCACACCACCATGCTAATCATCCTCATTGAAACTGACTGCAATGACTAAGGAGGAAATGACGCTTCACAGGGCAGCAATGGGTAAAGTTTTGTGGGTTAAAGACATCAAATAAACTGATGTTAATTTTTAATTTTCTTCAACATCAAACCATCAGCTTTTCCACCCCAGTCTTTGTGTCTAATACCTCACTGTGGATCCAGCACTGCCTTTTCTTTTGGGCAGCGGCGAGTAGCATTTCCTTCTTGTAACAACACACCTTTGTAAATGCTCAATCCTACGGAGTCGTAGTTATAACAGACCAACATGATGTGTCTACTGAGTGGGAATAAAGCACCCTTCAAAATACCCTACGTTGGAAACATGTTAGTAAAATTTGGAAAAAGAAGCTTTACAAATCTGACTGCAAGGGATGATAAAAGCAAAGACATGCAAATAAATTCACCTCCAATAATTAATCCAGGGGTCAATTAAAATGCTTTTTGTTATAGTGTTATATAAAGAAACAAACTTCAAAAATAATCTGAGTACCAGAAAAATACAATCATCTCACTCCGAGACATAATGACTTTAAAATGTTGACGTGAGTCAGACAACTTCAGGCCAAAAAGTTTGAGTATACATCTTCTTGTGTTTGCACGACTAAACGCCAGATTGTTGCAAAGAGAGCAGAAAACGGTTGACCTGTATCGTGACATGTACAGAAATGTTATTCTCAGATGTGTCAGTTGAAAACAGATACTGTTAAAACTCCCAGACTGTCAGGTGAGAGAAACCAAAAGAAGAACTAATGTAAAGGAAAAACAAATAACCCTAACCTTTATCTGATTTCTACTGGAAAACGATCATTTTCTAGACAATCGAAAATTAGCTTTCTTCTGTAAAACAAGTTGTGGTAAATTTTGATCTCATTTAGCAGAAAAAAAACGGCTAAATCTTAATTAGATATGTCAAGGTGAGTGAACGTTGCTAAAGTTGTGATGTCACCAGAACTCTACAGGACAGTGTTCCAGTCCATGTTGTGACTGACTGGTAAAGCCCAGTATCTCAATTCGTCAAGCTTTATTGTTTGTTTTCATCTAAATAGGATTGTCACTTACAAAACTGAAGTCATGTTCTATTAAAGAACTAAAGTGAGTAAGTACTGTAATCACACCAACTCTTCGGCAAAAGTTCACTCATGTTATAAATGAAGTGAAAAAGAGCAGCAATTTCTCCTAAGCCCTTTTATGGAATTTACTGTATTTCATCTGAGAGCTCCCCCACCAGGTGTGATAGAGAAGCACAATAAGGATTGGAGGATGAACTAGATGTTTGGCTTCTGCTGACTGTAAACCATCTACAGATTGTTCACCACGACTGCCATCAGTTCTTCAAAAACAACCTTACAGTAATAGATTGCAGGTTGTTGACACACCCTCTACTCATCAGGACATTCCTGTACGACTGACTGAGGTTGAAGGACTTTGGCTCAGTTGTCATGATACTAACACTGAGCAAAGTTAGTATCACGTACACAAAACAGCTGGGTGTTAATAATAGAAGACAAAAGATGCTGCAGATTTGCATACACACAGAGGTACGTCTGAAACAGCAGTTTTTCCTAAGTTGTACCGTTGGCTAATGATAGCACTGTTGTTATTTTATATTGTCTATGGTTAGAAGAGAGTAGATGACTAATATTTACAGCAATATAAATGTTTACTTGACAAAATATAATGGGAAAATTTGGGTTGTTTTTTTAATCCTTCTGTACCATACACTTTAGAATCGTGAATCTACACCGGTCTTATCAAAGCAGCGTGACTCCACTTCACCAACAACAGGAATGTCATGTTTGGTCCACTGTTAAATAGCCCTCACTGTTCAGGTCTCATAGAGTATAATGTTACGGGGGCTACGCTGTTCCTAATTCCACATCAGCTGCTAATCAATCTAATAGGAGTACAAAGGTATAAAAATGCAACAAGGCTCCAGGATGCTGGTTTAATTCGTATCTGCTGCTTCATTTCCTATTGCTCAGCCTACAAAGTAAAACTTGAATGTATGACTAGAAAACCTTAAATAAGGAAAAAGTTTAAAGAGATAAAATATTTCACAGTGATAAAATTGATGCCAATCTGAAGCAGGACTCTACCAGGACATCTGTCACACATTCGTACACCAACGCTGGCACACAAACACACACACAACCACACACACACATAAATTACTGTGGTTTACCCAGCAGACTAGATAGAAAGTTAGACCCCTGTCCCCCTCCTCGTCTACTCGCCCCTCCCCCTCCTAGGGGGTCCATCTGGTTCAGTTCAGACTGATCCAGCATTTCGAAATCATCTCCGTCCAAGTCTGTGTCCATCTCGGAGCTAGACTGTTGGCGGTAGCTCCGGTGGGCTCTGTGCTGTTCAGCAGGGGCCCGAGATTGCAGGGCCCCCACCAGCGCCGCCTGGATCATGTTGCTGGCAAAGACCCCAGCCAAGTCTCCGGTGAAATCAGAGGCGGACGGCAGGCCGCTAAGGGACAGTTCAGCATCCAGTTCCTCTTGGTCAGAATCCAGCAGGTGAGACTCTACGTCCAACACTGAAGCACGGTGACCGCTTGGCCCAGACGGAGCCAGACTGGGTAGACCGATGCTTGTATCGTCGTCGTCGTCCATCAGAGTTGCATCGGGGTTTATGGAGGGGAAGTCTGGAAGGTCTTGAGCAAATGATTCCTCAGCATCACTGTGCCTGTCGAGTTCTGATAGATGTAGAGAGGAACATTTAGACAAAAACGAGCAGAACGTGAGAATTGATTAAAAAAAAAATTCTGTGAACACGTACCTCAGAGCCCTCTGTGAGAGGAGTCTGACCACGTGACAGGTTAAATGTTCCGTTTTCAGTGCAGGAGATCTCGGCGTCAGAGTGCTCAGAGTCTGTCATGGACAGTTCCTTTTCAGCAGCCGCATCGTCAAACTAAGAGAAAATGCATTTTAAAATGATATGTATTTTTTCATCATCATCATCTTAATCTCCTTTTACTCCTACAGTGTTAGATAGACCCCTTCCATGTCCTTCTATTCTACACTGAAGTCTGCCCATCCTGTTAACTCAGTTTACTTAAATTTAAATGTTAGCATCGTCAACTGTCCACGTTCTTGATTTACATTATAAGAGGCAGAAGATGGAATGTATCAAGGTTGTGCCCAGAACAAGCTAACCAAAGTTAAAGCCACTGGAGAATCACACGACTCAATAGTGGATGCAGATGCAGAAAAAACAAACATTTTATGTCTGTGTTGAAGTTGAGATAGAGGAAGGACCAACGGACCACCTGGAAGGAATGAACCATACATTAACTTCCTCTGTCTTGTGCACTTATTGCAGTTTTGCACGAATGAGTAGAGTTCGACCGACACTCTTCTACCTTCACTACCTCTTACTCCTGCATCTCCCTGCACCTTAGCTTTTGCCTCACTCTCAGTGACACATATGTTCCATTTGCTTCTTCTAACTGCCATCTGTAGGTCCTGCAAACATTTCTGAGTTCAAACATTTTCATTTTTCTGCAGTAATACCTTTTGCAGGATTTGCTGCAGAAAGAGCAAAAACACCTACGACAGATGCAGCGCACTGTGTGAAGAACCTCACCTCAACAGGAAATGCCACCTATTTCAATTTGCATCTCTCACACTCTTGGAAAAAAAAAGAAACATCTATGTAATGCCAGTTGCTTTCCCTTTTCTTTCAGTAATTTTTTTGACTAAATAATCAGACATGACATGTT